CCATACCTGGACATACTCATAACTCGCAGGGAGGATGGATTGATTAAGAGATCAATTTACCGAAAATCGACTTGGTCCGGTCAGTACCCGCACTTCACCAGCTTCACACCAGTGCGGTACAAACGGACACTTGTGAAGACTCTAGTTCGTCGTGCCAGACGAATTTGTTCGGCCGACTGTCTGGACGATGAGCTAGTGTTCATTACAGCAACACTGATGGCGAATGGCTACCCTCGAAGATTTATCGAGAAACACAGCCGACCGCGAGGACCAAAGGACTTGGTGCACACGGCAGCCAAGAAGAAAGTGTATATCGAATTACCTTTCAAAGGTGACTTAGCCACGCTGAAGACAACTAAGCGTATAATTTCGGCTACACAAGGAAGTTACTATGCTGCACAAGTTGTCGTTATCAACCGAACCCGAAATTTGCCCATACCTCCAACGAAGGAAGCTCAGCCTATTGGGGCCAACTCACACTGTGTATACCAATTTGTATGTGACTGCGGAAAAAGTTACATAGGCAGAACCAATAGGACGCTGACTTCCCGAGTAAAGGAACATGTGCCAAGATGGGTTCAACGTGAAGTTGCTCAGATTGCCTACCCTCGTGAGATTCCATGTTCACGCAGACCGCCGGCTTCCTCGATAGGCAAACACCTATTAGACTCGGGTCACCGGATAGAGATGGGCTCAGCGTTTAAAGTTGTGTTACGTCACCCTAATCCCCGCTTCCTTCGGTTTGCTGAGGCTGTCGCAATTAGCCGGATTAAGCCAGCCTTGTGTGTTCAGAAACAATTATTTGTCAGCCTAAAGCTGCCTTGGACGTAGGTGTGAACTTCTGTCATTCATTTCGCACCTTAAGCTTGTCTGGTTGCACCCACTGTTAGCTATATCTATGCTTATCGGTTATTGTTAATGGTACTGAGGAGACAATACGAAATGCATGCATCTACCAGCCTTCGTCTTCTTTGCGTGCTTTTCAAATAATAATAATAATGTCAGCAGTACGCCGTAACGGCGCTTCGCTGCCGCGCAACCACCACCAGTCGCGCGCGGGCTGACTATACCGCGAGGACGCCCACCCCTAGACAGTTTCGAACCGGTGACCGATGATGACTTCAAGCCAGGCGTGCAGACCACTCGTAAACCATCCGACACTGAAGCAGCAGCGAATTGGGTGTTGCCCGCCTGAAACCACTGCACTCCATGACGCGTTTCGAGGTTGTTTCCTCTCATCAGATAGAGATAGCAGGCATCGAGCCCGGGACCATTGGGATGTTAGTTGTGACCGCCACCCCTAAGCCACCGGGCCACGACGGGCAAAGCTTGGCACAACGGTTAATGGCAGACAGGAAAGGCAATTTGCCGCTGCTTCATCAGCTACGGTCCTAGTGATCGAATGGACAAGATTCACTTCAATGGGAATCGCGGTCCACTTTGAGATTGCGCGTCGCAATCCATCCACACAACGTGTACTTCAAATTGCCTTTCCAGTCTGCCATTAACCGTTGTGCCAAGCTTTGCCCGTCGTGGCCCGGTGGCTTAGGGGTGGCGGTCACAACTAACATCCCAATGGTCCCGGGCTCGATGCCTGCTATCTCTATCTGATGAGAGGAAACAACCTCGAAACGCGTCATGGAGTGCAGTGGTTTCAGGCGGGCAACACCCAATTCGCTGCTGCTTCATCAGCTACGGTCCTAGTGATCGAATGGACAAGATTCACTTCAATGGGAATCGCGGTCCACTTTGAGATTGCGCGTCGCAATCCATCCACACAACGTGTACTTCAAATTGTGTTTCCAGTCATCCGACACTGAGTTGTAAAACGTGATCATCCCCTTGAATTGCAGTCTGATGACACATCGTTGCGAGTGATTGGCTAATTGAGCGGGATCGATGAAGGTTGGTAAGTTCAAAACTACCGGTTTCATCGAAAGCATAAAACGATGGAGACATCAAAAGCGGATGGGCCAGAATTACATCAGATAGGATGAAATCAACATTACTGAGATGTAGACAGGTAGCACATCAGTGCAACGTGTACCGGTGTTACATTGCAATACAACCATGAGTCAAAAAAATCCTAGCGGTAAGAAAAGTGGAAGGGATACGCGGCATAATCATAAAATCAGTGGCAATCTTACACTTGCGAACTCATCATTCACCCTCTAATACTCCAACGGATGCTCCCAATTCTTGTCTACATAACGAGACTATCCAAATGATTCCCACTTAACTGCCGGCGCTTTGGAGGCCCTGGTTAGCAGACTGCTATCTCTCTGTCTGGTGAAACTGTTAGTGCAGCGAGCGGATAATGACTAACCATTGTTTGGTTCAGATACGGTCCCAACGAACGAATTACTAACGGTTCACATCAATGGAGATGGCGATCAGGATGTGCGTCGCAATCCAATCACACGTGTAGTACAAAAATGCCTCTCCAATCAGTCATTAACAGTTGCCCGACGTGACCCGGTGGCTAAAGGGGTTGTGGTCCTAAGTAACTTCCCAATGGTTCCGAGTTCGGGGCCTGCTACTTCCACCTGGGGAGATCAAACATTCCCAGTGATCGAATTGACCAAGGTTCACTTCCATGCGAAACGCGTCGTAGTCCATCCACAATGATTCCCATAAGCAGCATCGTTTGAACATAAGTCAAGGCTATCAAATCCATCGTTACGGAGGTTGAAACTAGGTCTGCAGCTTGGATTTGACTTAGTGCACAAATAAGTATTTGCCTCGCACAGTTATTGACACTTCATTCAAAATGGAACGCATAATATCAGGAATAAGAGAAATTCGCTTTCAACAGGTAGAAGAAAAACAAGCATACAAGCAGGAAGTTTGCTCTGATGAAGTACTCGGATATCTTGAACACGCTACCTACTGAATTGTGACTATGTGAGTCTAACAATCGTTTGGAAAAATGCTGGCCACGTACCTCACTGTGTTACAGGTCAAAGAAGTTATGAAACTGGATTGCAGAGTGGATGCAAATTATGAAGAAAGGATTGAAGCATAGGGACAAGTGCAGAATAACACGTGCAAACTGAATAATATGTTCCTCGTTTAGTTAAACCAGTAAGCTTATTCCCATTCCAACATCACATTATCTCGCTTTTCGCCATGCAAAACCGATGTTCCTCTCTTACTTTACATTTGTCGCGAACTGCTAGTTGTTATCACCGCATTTCCGGAGAAAACAACTCGAGTATCTGTGACAGTTCTTGATGCTCTGTGAAGTCCACTTTCCATACAAATTAGTCTACAACTCGATTGTTTGGAGTCGTTGGATCTATCATAAAATCGTCCATAAAGCCGCTTTTTTGACTATTTTTATCTTTTTCTATGTACTTCCTATTTGCAACCTGAAGCAGAACTTGTCGGCTATATACCACTCATTTATCATTATTTGTATTTCGCCAACCTCCATAACTTTTTTCAATTGTTGACTACGACAGGACAGATCTCTTGAGGTGACGGAATGAAGCCTCCGGATTAGTTAATACACCCGCATGTGGTGAACTGTCAAAGACCCACTGGTGAAAAAATATTCCTACTCAAAGCAAATTGGCACACACTCGTCGAGTGGAAAAAGTGTCAGACTTGGAAAAGTCAGAAACCGAAATGGGCTGAATAGCCTAAAAGAGTATTTAATAATGAAAAACATGACAGCGCACTTATCTTTGCGAGCCTATTACTCATTACAAATAAGAATGGCCATAAAAATGAGCTAGTATGGTATTGGATGGTTTGCTGTTACGCCACACCGACGCGAAGCCAAATGGGACGTGGAAGTGCGGATGAAACATTTCGAGGAAATACCCCGTATGGAAGCAAGTCCCCAGGAGTCGGTTCCACGGATAGCCGTATTAATTCTATTGTGCTTTTTTCAATACTCACTTTTATCGTACTTATAAAGTCTTATTCTTTTTATCGTTTCTATCAATTGAACACCCCATAAACCTGAGTTGGCACTGTACTAGAAAATCTGAAATAACATCGACACTTTGAGATCAGGTTGTATCAAATGATCAGGCCAAGTAGTTGAACCGTAACTCGAACAGTCGATAAATATACATTCTCTACATCGGTGCATGGATCGGGGCTGACACACTGTATTGAACCCTCAAACTTTGGTATCATACACAATTGGGGAAACAAATCAAAGCTCCCCAGGCAACGTAATACCCTTACAGTCTTGCTTGCTGACTTAAAGGAATCAATATAATCATCGTCAGCTAGCACTAACGAGCGCAGCGCATCGCTGCCGGGAACCCCCCGGTGTTGCCCGGCACTAAAGAGGAGCATGCTTGAGATGTTTCAAGCGAAGAAGGCTACCTCTCCCTATCAACAATAAGCCTCATTATGATACATTAAGTAGGAGTTTTGAAACCACGGAGAATCCCAGCTTGGGGTCAGAAGCGTCGTGGATTCATGAAGTGAGTGTGCTAGCTTCACAATATGTGAAGTAACTTCAGTGAACACTCTCCTATCAGTCGCTGTTATCAATATGGGTTAATTGACCATGTATCTCAGTCAAGTAGCACCACGATAGAAAGGAGCGATACTCCGGCTACAGCACTCCGCACTTCGAAGGCATACACCGAGTGCTAAATGATAGGACTTTTCTAGAGCTTGCTCAAAAACACGGCTGGTCAGGTGGACAGAAGCCAACTTCAGGATGGGTCGCCTCATGAACCTTCCACAGATGATACGAACCAAAATGGATGTAATCAAGAATGGGGAAGAGGCGCGAAACGCCTACGGACATGAGGACAAGGTTAAAATAACCGAAACATTCGGGTGCATAAAAACATAAATTATGGAAAATATTCGCAATAAGAAATATCGCAGTGAGCTGTCTCGAAGAGGAAAACCGAAACCATCTGGGTACAGGTTTTAGCAAAAAGAAAGGAAAGCCGGACAGCGCACAGTTGCAAGGTGAAGAGATCACATTCGCCGAGTGTTTGTGTGAAGAAGACCGAACAACTGGGTTAGCTGCACCGTTGTTCCGTGATGATGGTGTTTCCCATTCGCCTGGTTGTGGTTGTACACCGCACTGTGGGAGACGATGGGGAGAGGGAAAATTAGGAGCAATTAGAAACGATGCCACGACGTGCAGTTGACAATGTCTCTCTGAGAAGAACAGAAGTACCAAGCCGGAGTGGTGTACAATAGTGTAAAGTGCGCATTGAAGAGACAAGAGATTGGTACGCATTCAGGTGACAAATCGTTCAACGGACCAAATGAATTCTATGATGGAAATATTCCGTTTTGAGATGGCACAATATCTATGCTGTGTCAGCTAACCCAGACGTGCAGTCGGACAACATTTTGATAAGAAATAGGACACAACCGACAGAGCAAGACAATGCTTCGGAGTGCACAAGGCACGTGTGCAGGACATCGATGATGTTCATCAGAAGGGGGGGGGGATGAAGGACACCGGTACGAGAGAGAAGTAGTGCGGCCATAAAGAATAGGTAGCCCATGTTCTGCTTGTGATCAGCTATAAGTCATACAGGAATCCAAGTACCTGGGCAGCTACATTAGCGCTGCGAGATCGAAGATGAAGTCACGAATCGTATAGCAAAAGCTCGAGGTGCTTTTGACAAGCTTCGCCACTTGTGGCGTCGACGAGACGTCAATCTGGTCCCGAAGGACAGTTGTTTGTTCAACCCTTTTATACAATTGTGAAACCTAGTTCATCAAATCGATCAACGCTGCCTTCGCAGCTTGGTTCATATATGCTGGAAGCACTCCGTGAGTAAGGAATAAGTTCGGCGTCGTGTATTTGGTTCTGGAAGAGCGAGTGGACCGCTCAGCATCATGAAATCACACAACAAGCTCCAATGGCTGGGCCACGTGTTGCGAAGGGCAGCATACTGACTCCCGCGTCGTGCGCTGTTTGGGCGCCTGGGGTCTGGATGGAAGAAGAAAAGGCGAGGCCAAACGATAACTTGGTCAAGAGGAACGAAAACCCTCACTTCGAATTTAGCGTCGGTTGGTGTTCCGACTGCCGAGCTGGGGTTCCAAGGACGATGAACAAAGTTGGTTGGATATACTAATGTTGTGAATTGCTTTGTCAATCCCCTGCCAAGTTTAGATTCCCCCTACAATCATGATCGTGTACACAATGCATAATATGACGAGTCGCATTATATTACTTGGTTTTTTGAAGTTTTTATAATTCGTAGTGTTTAGCAACCTTTCTCTTTCGTATTGCGGCAGGTTAGTTGAGATATATTTATCACCCTCAGCTAACGTGTATTGAGGATGTTGTGTTCTATCGAGTAACGTTAGAACAGGATATAAGTGCACGGTCAATGTAGGATCTGCGAATGTGTAGGACAGATAGGGAAACTGGAAGTTTAAAGTATCTCAGTCGGAGTCGACCTCGGCCACACAGAGAGCAAGCATCGGGGAACGCGACAAGCGCAGTGCGTACTCCGCACTCGGATCCATGACTGCAGAGCGCCTATGCTCGGCGATTTATGTCGCTGCATAGGAGTGTAGACGAGGGAATGTGTGACTGTCACTGATTGCAATGAGGAACGTGACACTCTACAGTGCCATCTACGTTTGTTGCCATTTAGGTGAGAGTATTGACTCCACTAGATAAGAATCCCCTTGCTAATCAGCGTATTATATCACGATGTTCTGATCAAACTAGAGAAATTGCTAACGTTGTGTCTGGAGACCAACTCTAGCTTCCTTGAGACAGTAGCGTGCGGGAGCATGGACGGTGCCACATCAGGGCTGGTAACTTGTTCATGTATGTCACAGTCGTCGAGTCGGAAACCGGTGGGATTCGAACGGTGCTACTTCACTGAGCAAGTTCAGTTCAGATCAGTTCCGACCACAGAAGTGCGGTGGATCTAGTTGCCACGTATCACGCCACCAGAATAAAAATAGAAAACGGCAGGAACATGAGGTTGAAGGTAAGTAGAACACGAAGAAAACAGAATGAAGAATGCTTTGTGCAAAACTAAAAGGGATAGAAAATTAACGGCTATATGTAGGGAAGCGAATGCAGGAACACAACTGATTGCGCCATGTGTGGAAGGGAACCTAACCACTGGCGTGGACCATCCCGGGGCCCCCAACCCCGAAGACGGTATGCACCGGACTGACAAAATATCTCAGTAAATTCCTTTGTCTTCTCCATCTCTTCACGTCATCGACTGGCCACCTCGCGGGTTCGCACATCCCGGTGCAGCCACGGCACTTGATGCAAGTCAAGGAAACCAGTCAACGCGCATACAGAAGACGAGACCTAGCCAATGTAGACCGTCCAAGTTCAAGAGATATTCTAGTGAGGCACCACAGGGCTTCTTGATAAAAAAAAAACAAATGGCGGACCTCAGCATGGATCATACGGGGTTCCCAGCAGAGTTGAGCAACACTCCGCGAGCATCAATGATCAAACACAGCCAAGATCAGAGTCGGCCATGGTCACTTCGACCAGAAAGTTGAAGAGGAAAAGAGATATAGGACAAGCCTGGCGAACCCCACTATACCATTTCTCAACTGATTGCACCTTTAATGCACATAGCCCAGGTGTGTAATTCGCGAATTTGAAGACAGTATCGTTTCCTGATTTACGAGTGGTTTTGAATAGACAAAAGGGGTACACGTTGTTCAAGCCCTTCCTAACGACTTGTTCGCTTACATGGTTTGTCTAATCTGATTGCTATTATTCGTAAGCTTTAGTTTACGCGACTCGCTATGGAACGAAGAGGAACGCACACCCATCATTCGGCTGAATTGAAGACCGATGAAGGCAGATGAAGGCAACGACTGGAAGGAAATTGCATCCATAAATTTGAACAACTGTCGCAGTTGGATTAGAAGACTAAAATTGAATGAACCCAAACCAAATCGTAGTGTGGCGCGTCTGATCTCTGTCAGAGTGCCAAGTTGATTACCTGGTTGAATGGGTGAAATCGGAGACTACCGTGACAGTAGAAACTTTTCGGTTACGATTGAAAGGAGATTTTGATGTGTAGGTCAGCTTCAGCACCATCGCTCGCTACCTAGACGGTCGGCCCATGACCACGAAGAGGTTACAGATAATACCGGAATCCATGAATACGATGGAGAACAAGAGGCAAAGGAAGGTGTACGTCTTGTAGCCGATGAACTTGGAAGTTGAAGGACGGCGAGCAGTGTGGATAGATGAGACAAACTTCAATCAGTTCTGCGCCCGCACAAGGGGACATTCGATATATGGCAGCGAACAGTTGGGGACAAACTCTGCCCCTAATCAGCTCAATGAATGCGGATGGTTCGCTGGGATATTCTGTCATGAGGAGCAGTTTTAATGAAGAGAGATGCACCCCGTGATTGTGGGTAATGCTTAATACCAATGTTATAAAGTTAGCTGATAGCTGTCTCTTGATGTGTGATAACGCATCGTGTCCCACAGATTTGAAGCGTAGTTTCCACGAAGAGTCTTACACCTTAGGAAGACTGCAGAGTCTTACACCGTATTCGCCACAACGGAATCTAATCGAAGATATTTCGAGCATCATTAAGGCTAATGTTAAACAAACCATGAGGCGGAGATATTCCGAAATGCTCCGAGGGGACACAGATGGCTTGCTGAGCAAGACTGAGTGGAACATGCAGTTCTTGGAGCAGGCTGTGGGAGAAGCACGCACCTGAGTGATGCTAAACCACCGCCAACAAACAGCGCGGAATGTACGAAAGAAGTATGCTCATTATGACATCTAATCGATCTGTAACTAGTTTAATACCACTGATGTTTTGCTCCAAAGTATTGCGGGGCAACTCCAAGTAAGGTACATCGTGGTTTTCAGTTGATTCTGCCTATGGCGTTTCCTTCAGAGATGGAGATGACTCGTATAAACTTTGGCGAAAGCTTATGGCAAAATGAGTATTGTCTACACGAAAACACTGTTCACCACGACGCGTTTCGAATTTATTAATCGCATTGGTCTCGGTTTGGCAAGTCATGCAAATTAACAGCTGGGAATGTCCGACCTTAAGGCAAAGAGCTCCCTCTAAAAGTTACAGCGCAATATCACTTTTAATATGATCTACAAGGAAGGTGTTCGTGCAAAGTCGCGTACTGAGGTGTTGGATGTCAGTACGGCTGCTAAATATCTATACTGCCGGTTAATGACCGTGGATAAGCCAAAATGAGATCATAGAATGAAGGCATTTGTGCATTCTGTAGTTGACATTTGTGTACACCAGTCTGAATGTTACGTGTGTCACACTATAGCTTCGTTGAGTTCGCAAGCCTTACCTCGTAAATGCGGCTACACCTGTGTTAGCGTTATCCATGCGGCGTAATTCGGTCACCGATATGAGATCGCACAATAGCGTGGCACGATGGTTTGTGTGCCTCCACTCTACCCAGTGAGTCATACCGGATGGGGCTACACACAAGTATCGTTATAGCCACTCATATCAGATACGCCAGCGGTTATCAGTCCGAATGTATTCCTGGTCAGTGTTACGACTGCGAATAGAGTGCTGGGGTATTACGCCTAGAGGGAACTTACCAAATTCAGAGATGCGTGCAGTTGCCAGTGTGAGCAGACACCACACCAAATGTGAAACGGATCGGGGACTGGCGGTAGTTCGCATTTACGGATCTGTACGCAACTGCAGATACATAAGTTGACTGGCAACGTGCATATTGCGGACAAGTTCAGCCCCTACTGAAGGTCGATCGCCCCGAGAGTCTGTATACAAAAATTGCAAAAATACACCGCCGCACTAGGTACGGTATTGGGGCGCCGTCTATTTCTGATTTTCATTAAGGATCTAGTGAGCTTTATTATCTCACACCGTATGCTTTTTGCCGAAAACATCAGTTTAACAGCCGATCAAGTCCCAACTATCTCGACAATGTTCATAAATGGTCAGTCCACAATCATCCACAGTTCAAGGTGACTATATGTCGAGTATTCCGACTACGACACCAAATGCTGCACACCTATACTCTGGGCGACCATGATCTACAGCACTGTCCCAGGAAAAAGATCTCAGTGTGCTAATCCAAGAAGACCTCAATTGCTCGGGGAAATCTGCGCTAGCATCAAAAAAGGGCATTCGAAAATTGGGGCTATTAAATAGACCTTTCGGTCACTGACTAATCTAATTTCCCACAGTTGCTTTCTGCATACATACGTCCGCACGTGAAATATCCAATTTAAACATGGTCTTGGAATTTCCCCAAAGTGGGGCACCGAAAACGAACAGCGACTGAGTAGTTTGAGAGTCATCAGTGGACGATGGTGATCTCATCATGGTTAACCAGATGTTAAGCAAGCCTAATCACTCGTGCTACCAGCTGCTAAAACGCAGCCATAAAATAGTCTGAGAAGCCACGGTCTCAGATTGGCATTACAATACAGCCAGCTAGCGCGTAGACGGAATTGCTGCTCACCACATATGGATTTCACTACCGGAACCAGTTATTTAAGCCCCATACATTAACTATGTTCAAAGATCAGATCCACAGCGCGCTAGTCGCGCTACAGTAAAGACGTATGAACCGACATCCGTTTCCCTGGGAAATCAAAAGAGGTGACATTTTGAGTTGCATAAAACCATATCAGAACGATTCATTCGACGGACAGAAGTTTGTTTTGCAAGCTTACAGTTTTCGGTAGTTCTCTGTTTATTATTCCTTCACTTTTGAAAACCCCAATGTTCCATTATGTGAGACACGTTAGGGCTATTCATTTTTATTCGCAATAAACCACTAAGCATTGAGCATACTCTGACTCCTAACCAGCTGGTTGTAATCTAGTGCTTTTTCCACGAAACAATGCAAGTGTGCTAGTTGTTTCGGTGTGTGTGCGTATTTGCAAAATGAAGAGGAGAGGAAAACAGACGAGACGGTCTAGCATCACATTTGCAAGGCTGCAAACAAACACTTACCAGATGGCCTGCCCAAACGCAAAGTTGGTGAATATGTCAATCCACCCGGGAGCTGTTTTATCTATCTTGATCAGATTTGATCTGTGCGATTCGTATGGGGCCAAATAGTTGAAATATGACTGTCTTCCACCCTACATACAGCTATAATTGAGGAACCGCCCCAAATGTTGGGCTGAGCACATGGCAGTCATTCCGCTGTGCTAGATATCGTTCCCTTCTTCACGTTATTGACAGATTTACTGTGAGATTTAAGGGTAGCTTGTACTGCGTCTCCAGGCGAGAGGATTCGGTCGAAATAGCCTGAGATGGCATCAAAACGAGGTTACACATAACTGCTCCTTGCAGAGAGCATTTCGAAACATTGTGTACTCCGGCCATCCGTGTCGCAGATGTCCCTTCAACTCAAATGGACATCGTACCTGCTCGCTCAAGCCCTTGGTGTGAGATAGTGTTGACTTCATTCGCAACAAGTTCGCTTGAGGCAGGGGCGTGACTCCATGTTCATCATCATCTTCATCATTATACACGCCAGCTAGAGGTGGGAAACACATCAGCTACTGTGCCGCAATACATAAAGGAAAATAAATACAACAGTTGCATGCCAGCTGAGCTACCAGTAACGGATGGGCATCGTTCCGGTAACCTACCAGCCGGCTACTGGGCAAAAAGAAAAAGTATTGTCTTTTACGCTATGAAATGAGATCGTGGGTGGAGGAGAAGGCTAAAAAGGATGGGGAAGGACAAAGAAACCCACAGCAGGAACGCCACTGAGGTCGGCTCCTTTCCATATCAGCAAGTGTATCCAGCCATACGTGTTCACCGTCTTTTGGACCCCAACCAGGGAGCCGTGAAGCTCCAACCGAGGCCAGCTCCGAAGTGATGGACTTCATTCCTCCCGACCAATTCATCGCTTGGTCACCCCTCCTCTTCTTCCGTCTACATCCCCGGTGAGCAAACAATGCATGTGGTGGAAGTCGGTGGGCTGGCATGCGTAACACGTGGCCCGGCCACCGGAGCCTGGTGCGTGAAATGACGGTGCTGAGCGGTTCAGTTCCTTTTTCTGTGCCGTAAACAAGGCGTCGAACACGCTCGTTACTCACGCAGTGTTCCCACCAGATGTGAGCCAAACTGCGAAGGCACCGATGGTCGAAGGTAACTAGCCTCTTCATGTCCGCGGATCTTAGGGGTCAGGTTTCGCAACCGTATAGTAGGGTCGAACGTACCGCTGCATTGTACACTCTACCCTTCAGGGCGAGAGTAATGTCACACCGCCGCCACAGGTGGCGAAGGTTAGCAAAAGCACCTCGAGCTTTTACTATACGGTTCGTGATCTCGTCTTCGATCCCAAGGGCGCTGATACATGTTCAGGAGATGTTCACTGCTACATCTGCGTTGTTTGGATCTGTGCTGACCTCGTTTCACCTTCACATCGCAGGCCTTGGGATTTAGAACCAGTTCGTGAACAAGCACCTGTTTCCACCCCCCTTATTGTTCAATGCCAGTGCGCACCTAGAGACGAACGGATGGCTGAGGTCCGGGTAGCAAGACATCAACTGCCGATGATTTCAATTTGACCACAAGTGTGGCTACTACGTTGCGCTCATGTGTTATCAAATTTTGCGACCCCCTCCCCCAAAGCCCGCTATATGCCCCAGCTGCGTCTACGTTAAACAGCCATGCCGGCATATGGTCCGAATGATATTGGCTGATAACGGTTGACCACTCAGGACGTCGTGGATGCAATTCTCGAGACTATTGGATTTTAGGTTTTGCGCTAAGGATGCAAGCTGCTGCACTACGCATGCAAGCGAATGCGTTAATGAGGCAATCAATCGAGAAATGATATAGCTGTGGGGAACTCCGGAGACCAGTTCCCATAGACCATTACCCGACCACGGTAGAGGGATTCCAAGATGGAAAAAAGTTTCCCGGGCACTCCCTTCACGGATAGACAGTGCCACAAAGTTCCACAGTATGATCAAGTACCAGAGCAATAAGAAGCCAAGTGGCGGCTTAAAATATAAGATGGGACATTAACAATTCAGTTCACCGACAGGTACTCCTAGTGGTATGTAGTTGGCGAAAAAATGCACAAGTACCACAAGCGACTGGCAAGGCTGAACTTACTTCCACTTCGGCCACCGCCGAAATGTGACCCCTGATGATCATCCCAAGCGAAACCGCTTCTGCTGCCGAAGTGACTTGAAAAGAAGCCTCCAAAAAAGTCATTATCATCCCGGAACATTTCGCTGAAGAAGGAGTCACCTGAATGGACGACATCTTGGTCCGATACGAAGCCATGCCTGTCGTATTGGCGGCGTTTTTTCTCATCGGACAATACGTCGTATGCTGAAAGAACAAACAAAAGCGAGGGTGTAGACTGCCTTCCGAGAGGATATATGATGCGATGGGGAAATCATATGCTAAGAAAGCACTCGTATCAGTATATCTGTCTTCTGCATTAGCTGAGCAACGGAGTACGTCACTCTTCTATCCTTCACTGCCCTGAGACCAGTATACCAACATATGTAAATGGACGTGCTTGCAACCCACTTCACTTCTCAAAAGGCCAGATGTTTGGCTGGCACCTACGTGGAGCACAACGTTCATCAACTGACCGATGCGCAGGCATATTAGAAAGGAATGAAGCTCGGCTGCTCAAAGCCTACGGTACTTCCAAATGGAAACACTGGGTCAATGAAATCCAATGTCTTCGTGGACTACACACATACAGTCAGAAGATAAGCAATGGCAGGTCAACGATGCATAAGCCTTTAGTATCCGCGACAATCAAGTTCATAGATTTCCAACATGACAGACCACTTTCAACCTTACAAAGAATCCAAGCCCAACTTGACGAATACCTCGATTCAAGCTGAGTAGTAAACCAGTCTAAACAAAACCCGCAGACCACAAAATGAGTGACAAGATATGGCTTAAAATAGTTCACACGTCAATCCTAGGTAACATCTATAACTTTCCCGAATGGTTTTCGTGCGTATTTCCGATTGAAGTATGGTTGGTACAACAAAATGCGTGCGATTGCTAATCATGTCGAGGTAGACGTATCTCGAAAACAAGTGGTTTATTTAGTTGTCATTTGCGTTTCATTAACGATACGGTAAGTGAAGTTGGTGACAAAGGATCACCAAAGCACCAGGCTTTTAGAGCTGGCAGCACTGCTAAAACAACTGCTAAGTGTTCATCCTATGACTTGCGCAAAGTGCTAAAAAAAGTTGGTTGCTTCACAAGTTCAGTGCATCACTGGTTACCCATGTCGCGCTGTCGTAAGTAAATGAAAAAGTAATAGGAGGGAAAGAACGGATCTAGAGTACGGAAGTACAGACTTGCTGAAAATCCATAAAACTCAGCCCGAACAGCATAAGAGTGGGCAACAAAGTCCGAAGCGATGAGAATAAATGGAGACAAATTAACGGTCTCCGATATAATCAATACTAACCTGCTGAAGAAGGCAATGAACCAACGAAGAACGCTGGATAGGATAGACAAAACTGAGGCCAAATATATATCACAGATCCAGAGTGGTAGGAACGAAAGCCGTTAGTACAGGTGAATAAGTAGCAAGTAAGACAGGTATACCGAAGTGTGTAGCGTTACGTGTCAGTTCACCCAGCCGTGTTCAGGCGATGGCTATGCCCGGTTCAGAAGGAGCTGTCATCCGCAAAGTCTAACTTTGACAGTCGGTTACCAAACAGCATGTCGATCCGGGGAGAAGTAGCAGGAACCAGTCATTCATGACTATTTTGCAGTGAACTCAGAGGGACGTTTTTCGATGACTTGGCACAACTCCGGGAGTCGTGGTACAGCGACGTTAAAATGGAAGAATTTCGAAGATACATACTTCAAACAATGCGCCAAAAGAGTACGATCAAGAGAGTAAAAGATATCTTTCAAGTCAAGTGAGCCCATTGCGATGGGCTGTTTACGGATATGTCGATATTAAAGCATCAGTTAAAGTAAAAAGCATGGTCCGTACACTGTCTGCTGGGCGATAGCTTGCTTAACTTTCAATGATTTGTCTCTTACGAGGATAGGCGTGATGACCCAGCATGATGCACGTCGGTAGGTTAGAGGAGGAAGGCATCAGCAGTACACCGGTAAGCAGTACCGACGTTTCGCTGCCGCGCAATCATCAGTCGCACGTGAGCTAAGGATACTGCGTAGATCATCCAGTCCGCTACGCAGGCTTGTGATTCTTAAGGGCATGGGAGGGCGTCAAAGACAAAGGAGTTCGGATTGATGTCAAGAAAAGTTTTGATGGGTGTCCCTTGACAATTTTTAAATATGTGAATGACAGCTGACAACTACCATTCAGAGATTGTTTCATCCTTGTGCCAAATAATATCGAAGGTGGTAAGGTTGGTCACTAGTGACCCGTCATGGTAATTCAGCTATAACAGCAGAGAGTCGACTGTACCAGTGGGCTTGTTCCGCCTTGGCAGCGTCAAATCGTGTCGGATACCGTCGACCGTCGGAGCTGTTAAGGCACCAGGTGGCCTAACAAAGGCAGCATTAGCAAACACGTAGGTCGTATCGATATCACGCTGTCACACAACCACCAGCAAATACGTGCAGGATGGGGATACCGTTAGATCTCCCTTGCGCGGACTACAAAGTGTTTAGCACAGCGTCCTAGTCTAGGTGAATGAAATGGAATCAGCCGTTGATTATCCATCTGAGCTACTTTCTTACCTTTGGACCCGGGTGTCAAGCTGGTTGGAACACAATTCTGGTATTTTCATTGGTACAACTCCTCACTGCCCACCGCCACCTCTGGTGAACTTGGAAACCGGGAGCGAGGTGACGTCTCGGAAGGTTAAGGCTACCTTAAAAAGTCGCAAATATTCCAAAGGCGATTACCGAACGAAATCGCTCTCCCTACCAAACTTAGTTGGGTCGGTCTCTCTCAAATTGACAGGAGAAAACGGTAAAGTTGTAGGGATGGAAATGAAGGTGATACCGAGATGCAATGAGTCACTAAATCTGCTCCCAAGAGTGACCTGCAGCAACTGAGGCACACAATGAAGTTGATCAGTTGAAGAACTATGGTCCGGGCACCGAAATGCGGTGATTTTAGTTGCCACGACCCATCGCCAGAACAATAAACAACAACGGCAAGAAAATGCAAATACAT